CCTGATGGCCTTAAAGGTCCACTTTAGGGTTAATTTCCCAGCCAGGCTCAGAGAAAGTCAAAAGGAAATAACAGCAGAGTGCTCAAGGTCACTGCTCCTAGGCACCTTGCCAAGAGATTCCAAGTGGTCAAAACAAAGTTCAGATTTATCAAGTATAACTCGCAGGAAAATTTCTCAAGCTTTACAACGTCAAACTGTAATATTCTTAAAGTATATTTTTAAAGTTATTTCCTTTCCATCAGCTATCCCTCTCACCAGATTTTTTGCCGCTTTTTAGTTTCTGAGAGATAGCAATTCTTTTTTCCATATATAGGAATTATTTCAGGGGTATAAGCAATTAGTTATAAAAGTCTCACCCGATGGTAAACAGCGATGCCAAAAATCTGATTCTTGCCTCTTTGGCCGGCTGCCGACGACTCGCAAGCAAAGATTGCTTGTTTCTGCCCGTTGGCTGATTAGGGAGTTTCCTGGATCGAACAGGGTAGCCCCCCCCCGTGATCAACAGGCTTCCCTCCCAGTTCACCACCCCTCCAGGGTGGTTCCAACACCCTACGGTGTCCCAAACAAGGTCAGAATTCAGCCCAGGGGACAGAGCTCTGTCCTCCTGCTGCTGTCTCGTCGCGACGTCAAGCCGGAAGTCCAGAATGTTCTAATATATGTTTTTCCTGTGCAAGGAAGAGGAAAAGGGTGGTGTGAGTTTGGAAGTCCAAAGGTATTAATGGTTCATTAATAGTACATGATGAACAATGCTATAGGTGACCGTCTCAACTGGCCTTTGTGTGTTTTTATTAGGTACGGGAATATTCTAATATATGTTTTTCCTGTGCAAGGAAGAGGAAAAGGGTGGTGTGAGTTTGGAAGTCCAAAGGTATTAATGGTTCATTAATAGTACATGATGAACAATGCTATAGGTGACCGTCTCAACTGGCCTTTGTGTGTTTTTATTAGGTACGGGGAGAAAAGAAACAATCGATAGAATAGTTATTGTTCTTCTTAGACTATTGTACCTATATAGTAATTGTAAAATCATAGATTTTTAATCGCTCTCTTGGAATTGCCAGTGGTGTTGGCATGCTATGAGGAATTGTGCTGTCAAGCTAAAGAGATCGTTCAGGATCACATGATGCCAGTATAGTGATCGTATCTACTGTTTATTTTCTCCACAGCCCTTGCAGTCACTATCTCTAGCAGATTCCAAGCTGAAAACAGAAGTTACTATCATTATCAATGCTCTGGGCAGCAACACATCTCTTACGAAAGTGGATATTAGTGGAAATGGCATGGGAGACATGGGAGCAAAGATGCTGGCGAAAGCTCTTCAGATAAACACCAAACTCAGGTATTCGAAATCTGTTTCCATGCCTTGCCAAACTTGAAATACTATCTGTTGTCTTGAATGCTGTGATCCTGGTTCTTCTGTGGAAGTATTCATGCGATTCTAGCTTATTGTCTAAACTCCCTACTTTTTGTTTGTTTGTTCTTCCTTAAATTCAAAAGTAGCCTTGGAATCTGAATCTGGAGGAAAGACATGATGGCATGAAACAGCTTAATCCTCCTCAAGAGCAATCTCCCCAAATTTTCATCGCCATGGGTTTTCTAGTTTTTCTATGGAGAGATGAAAACAACAGACAAAATTGGGAAGACAATTTTGGTTCTATTGTTCTGAATCTTAGTGCTTTTCATTGTAAAAACAAAAAAGATTTGGGAGAGTTTTCATGTTTGTTTCATTTTGTTTTTGTTGTTTTTTGTTGTTGGTTGGTTAGGTTGGGTGTTGTTGGGTTTGTTTTGTTGTGTTTTTTGGCATATCATGTATTTTGGCTTCAAGGGCGCTGCAACCAAGTGGGATAGGCTTTAAGACAGAGTGACTAAAGGATCATCTTCTCCCATATGTGTTACTTAAACTGTGGTGACTAGGAATGTGGGGGAACACTTTCAAATTGCATTCATTGATGGGGAGCTCCTTATTCATTTTTAGTTCTTTCTGATATCAGTCCTTCCAGTATACCTGAAATTGTCCTTTTTCAGATTTTTTTTCATTTCATTTCCCCCCTTTTTTTTTTCTAGCTCTGGACCAGGTTAAGCACTTCAAAACCCACAAAACTACTCTCAAAAAGCAGGGTAGGGCAACCTAGTCCAGACCCCCTCTACCCTAAACCCCCATATGGATTGGGGAGAGTCACTTTTCCCTACCACTTTGACGTCTTTCCAGCAGTGCAGGCAATCCATTACAGGTCAAGGGCACTCTTTCCCCAGGCAACAATTTTTTAAAAAAGTAAAAATGGAAGAAATTCTCTGAACAATTTTTTTAAAAGGCCAAAAAAAGCAAGGAAACCCAAAAAAGAAATAATCCAGAAGAGATAAGATAAGAGACTCCTAACCCTAATACAAGACCCAGCAGATGCTTAAATAAGCTCCAAGAGTTCAGCCACCTAGAGCAGTGGTGGTGAACCTTTTGGGGCTCGTGTGCCCAAACTTACTTACTTAACAGTGGGTGGCGGACCCAAGGAAACCCAAAAAAGAAATAATCCAGAAGAGATAAGATAAGAGACTCCTAACCCTAATACAAGAATTATACTCCAACACAAGGTTGGGGGTAAGGATTAGCACAGATGGAAAGCTGACAGAGGAAATTCATACTAACAAAGGGTGCTTACTTGCACTCCTACTCTTTAACTTTTATATTAATAATATTGTAACAGCTTTAAACCATCCAGATCATTTCCCCCACCTCAATTGCGAACTATAAGATTGCAAGTCTTATATATATTGATGACATTGTATTACTATCTATGAACAAAAAGGGACTGAAGAGATGCTTAAATAAGCTCCAAGAGTTCAGGCACCTAGAGCAGTGGTGGTGAACCTTTTTGGGCTCGTGTGCCCAAACTTACTTACTTACTTACTTACTTACTTACTTACTTACTTACTTACTTACTTACTTACTTACTTACTTACTTACTTACTTACTTACTTACTTACTTACTTACTTACTTACTTACTTACTTACTTACTTACTTACTTACTTACTTACTTACTTACTTACTTACTTACTTACTTACTTACTTACTTACTTACTTACTTACTTACTTACTTACTTACTTACTTACTTACATACATACATACATACATACATACATACAGGTTTAAAAGCCTTTTCAGGGAGGCTCATCTCTCAAATGCTTTATGGAATTGAGAACCAGAAGTGGCAGCGGAAGGGAGAATCCCGGGCACAGAGGTGTGTCAAGACCCTACTCTGGATTTGCCTGACAAAGTGCCCGCACCACAGCTGCAGCAGCCTTCTCAGGTTTGCCTGCGTGGGGAGGGAGTAGCAATCTGGCGACTTATGGTTCACGTGCCTACAGAAAGGGCTCTGCGTGCCAGCTGTGGCACACGTGCCGTAGGTTCGCCATCGTTGACCTAGACTCCTAGAGCAACTAAAAATAAATTACACAAAATCTGATGATTTTTGGAAAGCATTCCCCCAAATTCAGCTGGACTATAGGTGAAAATAAAATAGAACAAGTCCAGACCTTCAAGTACCTAGGAGTGCATTTCAATGAGAAAAACTGCTTGAAATCCCAGATACAGAGCACAAAAATCTCGGTTCAGAAATCCAGCCATGCTCTGGCCAAATTTTTCCATTCTAAAGGTGGTAAACTAGTAACCCCAGGTTTAAAAGCCTTTTCAGGGAGGCTCATCTCTCAAATGCTTTATGGAATTGAGATCTGAGGTCTGAATCAGAACAACCTACACCATCTTGAAGTAGGACAGAATAAATTTCTGAGACACATCCTTGCGACACCTCAGGGGCCCCCGGCAGCTTTTCTTAGAACAGAGACAGACATGGTGTCCATTAAAGCCAGGACAACTCAAGTTATATTCTATTATAAGAGGGTGGTGGATATGGCTGATCACTGTCTATCTAAACACTGTATGGCAGAGCAATGGAAGAGTGGCGGCTGGGCAACTTCAGTTCAAACCCTACTAAAATCTAAATCCCTCTCCACAGACCTTTTTGTTTTTTTCTGAGGTTAAAAGAATGTTGAGGGACTGGATCTACAAATTGGATAATGACCAGGACTTAGCCTTAATAGACTCTTCAAATTTCTTTCACTGGTACCATCTGCTGAAAACAAACCACCCAAGGGCGCAATACTTACATACACTTACTTTTGCCTCCTTGAGAACCACATTCACAGAACTCCGTTTCCAAACCATCCCAACGGCTGTCTTAGATGGCAGGTATATGAATGTCCCTAAACATCTAAGCAGCCAGAAACATTCGTACTAATTTCCTGAGAGCCATCGCGATCAATTGTGTGGGAGACTCCCAGATATGAAGGGCCTCTTATTATTTTATATGTCTGTGATTTTATCATGATTTTACTTGATCATATTTGTATTCTAAAAAAGTATAATGGGTTTTAGCCAATACAAAAAACTTGAACTTGGAATAATCCAGAAGATAATCCACAGTGGAGGTACAGCAGAAGTAGGAGGGCAGTGGAAAATAAATCCAATCCAGAATGGAGATCAGAGGAACTCTGTCAGCAGCAACAGTGAACAAGTCACCACGCATCAAAAGCCAGCTATTCAATTTTTCCATGCCCTTTTAAGGATTCATGTTTTCTGCCCTACCCCCTTCCAGGACATTCTCTGAATCCTAATTTAGCAGCTGAGAGCAATTTTGCATGGAAGAATCGGAGGCAACATGAATTAGAAAATCCAAGTGAAATATAATTTTGTTACTCTCTCTTTCAGAATACTAAATCATTTGTACATCAGGGCTTCATACTGGAAAGCCACAAAAGAAAGTGCCTCTTGTGTTTTTTTTTCTCATTTGGGTTAACCCAAAAGTTCTATCCCACTTGTTCACTTACAGAAGTGTCTTTTAGATGCTTCTGCTAAAAGGCATTTGACAGTTATTTACCTCTTCTGGCAAAAAAGCAGGATACAATATATTCGCAAAGGCTTTCATGGCCGGGATTTAATGGTTGTTGTGGGTTTTTCGGGCTCCTTGGCCGTGTTCTGAAGGTTGTTCTTCCTAACATTTCGCCAGTCTCTGTGGCCGGCATCTTCAGAGGAAAGCAGGATACAAATTACATAAATGAATATCTGGACAGGGTGTTCCCACTTATGGTGCCATCTTTGTTGAAACCACTCTTCAGATAATCCTGCCTGAAGCAGACACAATAGTTTGACCCTCTATTTTCAACTGAAAATATTTTGAGCATTTTTCTAACTGTGTTTTGCAGCCTATTCAGATGTTTATGTATTGTTATCCATTTTTGCTGGTTCTCATTCTCTTTTTGGGGGTGGGGTGTCTTACTAGCAGGGAAGTTATCTTTTTATAAGGTAGTGGAAGATGTATTTTAAAACAAAATTGGCCAAAATTGGAAATATAAGGTGCTTCAAAATTAGGCATGAGAGAGCAATATTTCTGAAGAAAGTAGCCTGATGATGTCAGTGGGCATTATAGGAATAGCTGGTGGTATACTTGCTATCTCATGTTAAATTTCTGTAGGGAAATGCATTATTTTACTACCATATTACTTGGTTCGAAATATTGTAAGTATCATGTTGTTGAGAAAAGTTTAATAAGTGTTGCATGTAGTGTGTGTGTTTCAAAATCTTCATCAGTGGCTTTGTGTGATTTCTGCTTTTCCAACAGAACTGTTATATGGGATAAGAATAATATCACTGCCCAGGGCTTCCAGGATATAGCAGTAGCACTAGAGAAGTAAGTTTTGTACATATATATATATACTTATTATAAGAGCCACAAAGAATTTTGGATCCAAGGAAGTTTATGCTGTTACTTGGTTAAAAAGCAGAAACACAATGAAAGCAGAATTACTTTGATCTCTCTTCCACTTCTGCTCTGTGTAGGAGTATTTTGACTCCACAGGGGAAAAATCATAGTTTTAAGTTCAAGAGTTCAGTCATTACATATAACTGAATGCCATTTAAAATTCAGGGGAGGGGGTATGCCTAGCGCACCTCAAAGAAGCAAGAAACAATCTGCCATGAATTATTGGGACTCTCATAATTTTTCTACATTATCCACAAGATATTGGTGCAGAGTCTGAGGGAGTGGACTTGACCCATGGAAACTAGTTGATTGTTTGATTTTTTTTAAAGTGGTTTAATAAAGGCGTGTTCTGCTCCTGTATTTGTAAAGAAAGTGCAGTTTATGTTTTGAATATGAAAGTGGGGCGGGGAAATCCATTCTCATGATTTTTTGGCTTTAAAGCTTCAATGCATTCCTATGGGAAATGCAGATTCAACATAAGAACTTTTCAACTTGAGAACCACCTTCCAATACGGATTAAGTTCTTAAGTAGAGACTCCACTGTACTTGGTTAAAAAGCAGAAACTCAATGAAAGCAGAATTACTTTGATCTCTCTTCCACTTCTGCTCTGTGTAGGAGTATTTTGACTCCACAGGGGAAAAATCATAGTTTTAAGTTCAAGAGTTCAGTCATTACATATAACTGAATGCCATTTAAAATTCAGGGGAGGGGGTATGCCTAGCGCACCTCAAAGAAGCAAGAAACAATCTGCCATGAATTATTGGGACTCTCATAATTTTTCTACATTATCCACAAGATATTGGTGCAGAGTCTGAGGGAGTGGACTTGACCCATGGAAACTAGTTGATTGTTTGATTTTTTTTAAAGTGGTTTAATAAAGGCGTGTTCTGCTCCTGTATTTGTAAAGAAAGTGCAGTTTATGTTTTGAATATGAAAGTGGGGCGGGGAAATCCATTCTCATGATTTTTTGGCTTTAAAGCTTTAGTTAATTTGGCTTTTAGTAGGTCCTATGTAAATATATTCATATATTGATAGTGTTCAGTAAGAGTGTGTTTTTGGCTACTGAAAATTAACCAAAGGTTTCTCTAAAATGTGGAAAATAAAATGTTTTATAAAGTAGTCTATCCATTCATTGTTGGAAGGAAAGATCTTATTCAGGGTTCTGTTCTTTGAATTTTGAAGTGAATAATACAGTTATAAACCAGTTTGTTTCTAAATAAATTTAGCAGCCATTAGTATTGTTTAAATTCTAGATTTGTTCAAGACACGTTGAGTTTGATTTCTGCTTGTTATTGCCCATTTCAGTTCTCTATGTTTCATACTTATAAGAGGAAAATCATATTATTTTATACTGAAATCCAGCAGTAAGAGCTTGCAAATACTGTGATTTGGGATTATAACTCCCATAATATTCTCCTGGGTTGCTCTGGGAGTTTTAGTATAAAATGTAACTTTTCCAAGTTCTGCAAAATATAGTAACTTGGAATGCAGAGGAAAGCGGCAGCTCTGTTTCATAAGGATTTAAAATCTAGTACTGTACATGTAACACTGAACTGGTGTAAGTATATGTTTGGAATAATAGTAAGCTATTGAAGAGCACCAAATATTAAATGTTATAAAATAATTGACGGCAGAGTGGATTCTGTTACTAAATATTTTTGTCTGATATTAGTATTTTATTGTATGCAATAAAATAAGCACTATTAGCCAGCCTTTTAAAGGGCTTCTTAATGTTTAAATAGTAGTAGTTTATGAGGTCATTGTTAGCAAAAAATGAGCAGAGAGCACTGAGGTCAATAACCATCTGAAGCGGGGGAAATCCCTTTACAGACTTACTGCACAAACTGTGTTTACGGGAAATCTCCCTGCAACATCCTGCTTACAATCTTTGTTCTTACTGCCAAGATAAATTTTTAAAAGGGTTTTCTCTTGAGATTAAGAGTGAAAGTGTATGGTAGAAATATTAGCACTAGGGTAACAGCCATGATGTTTAGACACAACATCCAGTCTCCTCATAGAAGCTCAACTCTTCCGTCCCCATTTGTGTTCAAAAAGCCGCAGATCATTGTAGAGATACAGATGTGATCAGTGTAGATGTAAACTGGGAAGATCACCCTTTCTGTCAGAATGGGATAAAAGAATTAATAAATTTTTGTACAATCTATTTCATTACTTATTGTGGGGGGTTGGATGCTGTATGTTTCTCAACAAATTATCCAACTTGCAGATCTTATGTGGTTACGATATTTTTTTAAAAAATGTATGTAATTAATAGCATTGTTATGGAGAAATTCTCCTCCCCCCAACATTATATTCTCTTTTTCTTGGCAAAAAGAAATAGAACTGTTTTGTTTTTAATGCATCACAATAGGTGATAATGGGATTTTAGAATTATGGCCTATGATGTTTTGCATTTGTTTCTGTCCTCTGTGTGGCATTATATAAAACAACTGACTGATGTATTTTGTCATCTTAATTACTTTGGCTCATTAAGGAGTGATATATTGACATTTGCACTGCAGGACTGACAATGCAAAGTCCAGCATCAGGATGAGGTAATGTGAAGAAATCCAATGACTGTGTATTAATGATGCCAGTTTTCAGAATGCACTTTCAGAAAGTGCTAATGACTGGTGAGGCAGCAGGAAACTTATAATCCAAGAGACAAAAGACTGCAGGCATAAAGATTAGGATCACATCATTTAAAAATGTCAATATATAGACAGGAAGAGACCGAGACTCCTTCAGTTGTTGACATTTTGGTTAATGACATCAAGTAATTGATTAAACAAAAGATTGTGTGTTTTCAAGTTCTGCAAAAGCCTGAGGGCTAAATCCTCTTTAGCAATTCTGCTTCTGCAGTGAACTGTTGCAGGCTCTGGCAGAACAACAGTTCCAGAACTAGGACAAGGGCATATGCAGTAGCTCTTTGGACAAACTGAATCCCCATTCTTGTCTGCAGTTATAGTCTGCAGACTGTCCCTGCACAGTGGATATTGGGCAGAGCTTGTACTAAGAGTGCAGCAGGTTTCTGACCTAGTAGATTATCTAAACCTGTTCAGCACTGGCATTTGAATTCTTGGAGCTGGTGAAACTTGAGAGAAAAATTAGCAAGTAGTTACCCCCTATTCAAAATAGTGGGTTTTTTAAAAAAAAAAAAAAAAACCTCAGTTGGTGAATTATAGTTTTGTCGAAGTGTAATAGATTTGCCTTTTTAGCAAAACAGGAAAATTGAATGAAGACGGATTCCTTCATTCATCCCAGCAATTTTATTTATTTAAAATATTTTCGCCATTAAAAGACAATATTTAAAGCTAAGTACAGTAAGTATGTATGCAAATACTAATAAGGATCAAACAATTGCCATAATATGCTGCAATGATGCAACCTCCATCATTCTTCCTATTTGACTATGTCAACTATGGTTAACCTGGCTTTTTCTTCCATTCCCTAGTTCATTCAATATGTTCTTGCCAGATTTTATTTACACGTGCCATTTGAAAGTCCAAGAGCGCTGCTGAGAGATTGGCAGTGCAAAATTATCAGACAGAATGATCAGCTGCCACACGGGAAACTGCCAAAAATACAGCTAGCAGTGATCCCTGTTCTGGAGTTTCAGTCCACAAATATCTGGACCACCTCATATTTCCCATCCCTATGTTAAACACTCTCTCATTCACATCATTTGTGTTCTCCTGATTGATTCTGCTCCTTCCCATCCCAGTAAATTCTTGTCATGTGTGGTATCTGGGGAATTTGAATCATTGTCTCTACCATTGTCCTTATTAGAGTTGGGCATAAACTAACGGTTTGTGACTGTTTGTCCTCTGAATAAGCAGTTGTTCAGTGGTACCCATCTCCATCTTCTCTGGTGGGCACCCACTCAGGGGCAGCACCCAGAGGAGACAAGGCAGGGAAGCCAGGACACTGCTTCTGAAAGAGGAGGTGGGGCTGGAAACCACCAAACACTTTTTTGTCCAAAGGCCAAACCGGTGGTTCTGGTCCTGAAATGGAGTTGGGGAGACAAGAGATTTAACTCAGCTTTAACACCATGGCTGATTTAACACGATGGCTGAGATCTGGTTCTTCCCTCATTATGGCAACTCTTTTTTGAAAATAAATCAAGCACACAAAGATGAGAAATATAGATGATAGCATGTCTTATTGGAACCCCCCCCCCGCCAAATTAGTAAAGCCAGATTAGAATTTTGTGCTGCTTTTACACAAGTGCCTTTTTCCAAGCTTTTCTGAGTGCCAGTTGTATTGTGTTATAACTGCAGCTGAAATTTGTGGCTCTGAGGTGTATTCTGGAGTAAGAGCACAGTTGAAGAAGAGTGTGAATTTGTCAGTAATTTCACTCAATATAGCTAATTTTCAAAACAGTGTAGAGACATGCTTGCTAATCACTGACTATGGGGAAATGCTGCTGTTATTACATTCTTACAACTTACTGACAATTTTTGCAAAGACAAATATAACATCTACTTCTACTTCATTGACTACGCAAAAGCCTTTGACTGTACAGACCACGGCAAACAATGGCAAGTTCTTAAAGAAACAGGAGTGCCTGACCACTTTATCTACCTCCTGAGAAATCTATATGTGGGATAGGAGGCAACAGTTAAAACTGGATATGGAGCAACTGATTGGTTGGAAATAGGGAAATGAGTTAGTAAAGCCAGATTAGAATTTTGTGCTGCTTTTACACAAGTGCCTTTTTCCAAGCTTTTCTGAGTGCCAGTTGTATTGTGTTATAACTGCAGCTGAAATTTGTGGCTCTGAGGTGTATTCTGGAGTAAGAGCACAGTTGAAGAAGAGTGTGAATTTGTCAGTAATTTCACTCTTGTGGAAAGCAGATAAATGACACTTCTTCATATTAGAAAAAAATGTTTGCAGGGGATACATGTGTGTCTGCGTCTATGAAGCAAAGATACCAAAGCTGTCACAACAGGGATTCATCAGTGGTTTACAATATAGCTAATTTTCAAAACAGTGTAGAGACATGCTTGCTAATAACTGACTATGGGGAAATGCTGCTGTTATTACATTCTTACAACTTACTGACAATTTTTGCAAAGACAAATATAACATCTACTTCTACTTCATTGACTACGCAAAAGCCTTTGACTGTACAGACCACGGCAAAC